TCTCTCAGGGAGATATCTGTACACTGACTGGTGTCTCTCAGTCCCCCCTCTCTCTCTCTCTCAGGGAGATATCTGTACACTGACTGGCAGTGTATGATGGGGGTGGCAGGGACAAAGACAGTGTAGAGGGAGCTTTACTCTGTATCTGACCCCATGCTGTCCCTGTCACTGAGAGTGTTTGATGGAGTTGGTGCAGGGGGGAGGTAGTGTAGAGGGAGCGTTGGTTGCTCTCACAGAGTGAGGAGTCTGTTTGCACACTGACACTGCTGGTTTTGAGTGTAGCACTTTAAAAACAAAAACTATTGGACAAAACAGCAGGATAACATTGCAGCACCTGATGGCTCACGCCACAGAATCTTCTGAAATTTCCCAACAGCGTCTCATTCCTGGGGACTGGCTCGTGGCTGTTCTCCACAGGCAGCACCTTCCAAACCCCACGACCCACTTCCATCCAAAAGGACAAGGAGCTGCAGGTACAAGGAGCTGCAGGTACATGGGAACACCAGCCTCCTGCAAGTCCCCCCACTCCCTATCCCGACTCGGAAATATATCTCCGTTCCCTCAGTGCGGCTGGGTCACAATCCTGGAATTCCCTCCCTCAGGACACAGGACAGCAGCAGTTCCAGAAGAGGAGATAGTTGGACAGAATGGTGATAAACGGACCGGAACCGTACGCGGCGCTCCGAGTGCGGTGTAACCGGGACCAGAACCGTACGCGGCGCTCCGAGTGCGGTGTAACCAGACAGGAACCGTACGCGGCGCTCCGAGTGCGGTGTAACAGGGACCAGGATCGTACGCAGCGCTCCAAGCTCAATGTAACCAGGACCGGAACCGTACGCAGTGCTCCGAGAGCGGTGTAACTGGGACGAGGACCGTACGCGGCGCTCCGAGTGCAGTGTAACTGGGACCGTACACGGCGCTCCAAGTGCGGTGTAACCGGGACCAGGACCGTACGCGGTGCTCCGAGTGCAGTGTAACTGGGACCGTACACGGCGCTCCAAGTGCAGTGTAACCGGGACGCTCCGAGTTTGAGGCAGTGATGAGGCTCCTTTCAGTCGATCGGTTTGTTTAATGACAACGTGAAGAATAGAAGCTGCTCAGTACAGTCACTGTCTCACATCAACACCCCCACCCAGGGGACTGCCCCGGGATATCACCCCCTTCCACCATAGACAGCTCCCCCCATCCTGGCCACTGCTCCCACCCCCAGGGGAGCACAGTGTGCCTGAGCGCGCCCCCCCCCCCCCACCTCCCCCAGAACAGAGGGGAAGGGAGTGACACAGACAGACAACAAAGATGGGGGTGGGGGCAAGAGCGAGAGAGAGAGAAGGAGAGGTGGGCAGAGGAAGAGATAGAGAGGAGAGAGAGAGTGTGTGAGGGAGGTACGGACAAGGGGGAGGGGGAGAGAAAGAGGAGCATGTGGGGGGAGGTGAGACGGGGGGGAAGGTGAGATAAAGATAGAGACGGGGTGGGGGGGGG